AACCGCTTCAGCTTTGCTCCACGGTAAGGCGCACCGCCATGGCTATTGCCTTCTTCATCCCTGGCGCCCAGGCAGCCCATTTCTTTGACGCCGCCATCCTCGCCTCCAGGTTCGTCTCCATCGGGCCCTTGTCGGAGCCCGCCCCTCGAACACCGTCCAACTGCTCGAGCATCTCCATGTTCGTACCAACCGTGGTAGGCTTGGTCTTCACGTGGCCGAAGGGTCCTTGGTCGAAGTGGTACTCCTTCATCCCGTAGGCCTCCTTGAATTTCTTCCACTCATCCCACGCCCAATACGAAGGATACCTTTCCCGCCCTTCGCCTCCATGGTCCTTGCCCCCCACGTAGGACTCCGGGTCTTGAGGGCTTTCATTGAGGAAACCCACCTTCGTGACCGTGGCCTCATCCGCAACCATGTAGAGCAAGAACATCCGCATCCACAGGACCGTATCACCATCCACCTTGTCAAGCAAGACCTGAGGCAGGTTCTTCCGGCCAAAACGCTCCTCTCCGTCCCGCGTCCTCAGTGGCGGCGGCCCCGGCTGCAAAGATCGCATCCTGGACACTGTGCGGCAGGGCGGACCCCCAATGATCATCTTCACCTTTCCCGAGGCACACAGCTCCATCAAGTAGGACATCACATTGTCCTTGCCGACGTCCTGCCCTTCTCCCAACTCCAGGTCAACACAGAGCACGACTCTATCGGCCGTTTCAAGCTCCTTCTCCCAGAACTTCGCGTCCGGGCCGGAGAAGAGATGCAGCACAACCTCCTTGGCTTTCTGAATCCTCCTCCTCGTCCGCCGGTTCCAGGGCAAGTGATTCCATCCCGACCGCGGTGGCAACCTCTCCAGCACTCGCTCCGGTACTTCTGGAAAAAGCTCTCGCAACCTCCGAAGCCACTTGACCGAGTCGATGCCGACTTTCTCTTCCTCCTGAGCCGTCAATGGCTCACCGCGTAGCGCCATCAACCTCATCTGGTACTTTAGCGCCTCCATCTCCAACTCCCTGATGAGCTCCAATCCCAACTCCTCCTCCACCGTGGGACACCCTCCCTCCAAGGCAGTGTCAAGGATCTGCCCATGCTGATCCATCAGCTCAAAGCGATCCCCCTCCCACTTCACCGAATAGCCCTTCTGGACCAGGTAGCCCAACGGCACAATCGGCTGCACCTCCTCCATAGTCAGCAACGTCCTCGTCCAAGGAATGAGCCTCAAAGACACGGTCCCCTGTGCCAAATGCACCTCCACCTCCCGGGCCTCATCCCACTCCTGCACCGACAAACACTGCCGTAGGCTATGCGTCGCTCCTCCATCCAGCAAGGCCCTTTTGTTCTTCACCTCCAGGGAACTCAGCTGGATCTTCTTCAATTCCGGTCCTCTCAAACTCTTCAACAGTCCCGCTGCCTCTTGAATGAGTCCCCTCACTGCTTCCCCACTACCTCCATCCGGCAGTGGCCCATTCCCCCTCCTCGACGGCGACCCTCCACCTCCTGTAGTAGACACCGCCGTCTCCATTTCCACCTTCTTGACGATCTGGCCCTTCGCATCGGTCCCGTCGTAGGTCTTGGCAGCTCCGCCATTTCCATCCCGACTCCTCCGCGTCTTTACCGGACAGTCTTTTCGGGTGTGTGAGGTTCCTCCACAATTCCAGCAGCGCCCTCGCTTGTCCCCGTCGAACTCATGCCTGTAGGTGCAATCTGCTCCCTGCTTGCATCCACCGTCCGTGAGGAAGAATCTGCACGTCGGCGCCGTGGCGGCATCCTTCCCCCCTCCATCCTTGCCTTTTCCTCCTCCTTTGCCAAAGTCCTTGGGCTTGTCGGGAGTCCCTCCTTCCCCAGCAACCAAAGCCTTGACCTTCGCCGCCGTCCCCTGAGCCGTGCTGTGAAAACCTGCTTCAGCTTCCGCCAGCACCACGTCCGCAAACTGCAGCACCGAGTCCACCACCGGAGCCACGTCAATCCTTAAGCCCGCTCTTGCAGAGTTGAGCCGGAAAGAAGTTTGAGGCGAGGCCTTGACAATCACCCCCACATACTTCTCCAACGCTCCGACCAGCAAGGTTGCATCTGGGGTGGCAATCTTGAGCTCCTGGGCTCTCCGAAGGTAGCGCTTCCACGCCCTCAACTGCTCCAAAGCCTCCAACATAGACGTAGGTGTCCTCGGATCCACCAGCTGCCTCAACAACATCGCCCGTTCTCCCAGACCACCGGGTTGGTACCGCGTGAAAATCCGGAACAACACCTGCACGGAGGAGGTGGCTCTGTTGGCGAGAATCTCCCCTTTCAATGATGCCGGTAACGAAGCCAGCAACATCGACTGAGCCCGCTGCTCAATCCGGCCCCACTGACCGTTCCCATCACCAACTCCCTGCGGTTGCACGTACAAACGCTCCAGCGGCTCCGCCCTCAACCATTGCACGTAGGCTTCCGAGGAGAACTTCACCACCTCATCCCACCATTGGCCACTCCTCGCCGACAGGTCCCTCATGATTGGGTTGATCAGAGCGAGCCAATCGCCCACCACCATCGAACCCAGCTCTCCTTCTTTCACCTCTGGCAAGGCCGGAAGCTCCACGGACCTGATGTTCTCGTTGTTTGCCATCAATGACCCCATCCAAACCGGGATCTGTCCTCCTCCTGCCCCAGCCGCCGGTTGTCCTTGACCTCCAGCAGGATGCCCAGGAGGTACTCCAGCACCTCCAGGGTTTCCCTGATCTCGAGCAGGATGCCCTTCAGGTACTCGCGCCATGCCAGGCCAATCACGCCCCCGTTCATCTGCATGACGCCCACCAGGTACTCCCGCTACTCCATTCCCTCCGCATCTACTATCTCCAGCTGCTAGGTGCTGTCGCTCATCAAACAAGTCACCTCCATGATGGCTAGCCGCATCTGACCATCCCACGCCTCGAGCGTCCGGTCCTCCGCGATCTCCCAGGTCAGGAAACAAAGGCAGTCCTTCACGTCCTCGATCCCCACCTGCGGAAAAACCCACTGCAGCCAAACCACCAGTTCCAGCAGCTCCTGCCATCGGCCTCATTCCCCCCCATCCCAGGGTAGTCATAGCCGCCGGCCCCTGACCTGACCGAAGTTGTAGCGCTCGCTCATCAACAGCTCCTCGTCCGGTCGCAGCTCCCGAAGATTCCAGATGTCCACCTCCGGCAGGTACTACGCCCTTCTGGCTCACTCTGCCAGGGCTTCCATAACTAGCACCTCCGTTGATCTGCTCCTTCATCTCCTTCAGCTCCGCCGCCATGTGCTGGTTCTGAGCGATCAGGCCCTTCATCATGTCAAACAGTTCCCGAGGAACACCACCTGCGCTTTCAACCCGCCCAAAGTTTCCACCTCCTTCAGGAAGTTGAGCTCCTGCGTCACACAGCGCCAGCGGTCCCCCTTCTGGCTCCTCCACCGGCAGGTCCCGAGGCCTCATGGCCCTCAACTGAGCCTCCTCTTTGGCCTTCTCCGACCAAAAAGGGTTCACCACCGGCGCCGCCAAGTCGCTGCTCCTCAAGGGGCCATACGCCGTTGGCGGTCCTCCCGGTCCTTGTTCCTCCGCTTCCTGGGCCGCCTCCGCAGCAGTCCTTGCCGAAGAGGACGACAGAGCCTCCATGGCTCAGCACAGGTCGAGGTTTGGGCTCATAACCCACTGACTCCTAAGCAGGCGCTTGTTTTCCTTCTTGAGCTAAAAAGGGGCTGTCCCCGATCGATCGTTCAGCAACTTCCAAGACCAGGGGTTGTTCCCCAGAAACATCTCATCCTCAAAGCGGATTTCAGGGGAAACAATCTTGAGCATTATTACCAAAGCTGATGCAGTTGATGTATTTTCATACGAAACAGTTCACGGTCATGTGCTGTGCATGTGTGTTATTCAAATGAGCTTTCCCAGTGTGTGCCTGCAGACCCCATTTGGACGACCAAAGCGAAAGAAACCTGCATGCGCTGAACCCCAATCAATAGTTGTTTTCCTAGAACAATATTCATTCGGGGAAGGTATTTGTCTTTACTTTCAGAATGGAAAGGGGAGCGAGCTCTCGTTGGCTGGTGCTGACCTGGCGAAGTTGATCAGAGGTTCACATTGGCAAGCTGTTCTTTCTTGCCATCATGAGAAGGAGATGGACGTGATAACTGTGGCTGTTGTCAAAACCGTTTTGGGATCCCATTTTGGTTGGTAGGTGAATTCACTATCCATTTTAGAACCTATTTTAGTGGGGATGGGGATGTTCACTGGGGGTTACGGATTTTGACCCACAGCCATGTGTTTCTACATTGTTTTCAGCGCGGAAATCATTTTTGCCAGTTGCAAGATTCTGGCCTCACGACCTAGGGCGACACTGCTTGGGCTGCCAACTGCCCATGGCCTCCCGCGCAAACGGCCGCGTTTTCCGCCAGCGCGTCTCGGAAGGCGTTTGTGAAACCGGTGAGGGCATGGTGCTTGAATTGCGGCCGCCCAACAGAGGCATTCGCTGTTTCAGATCGGACCATTCGGGGGCTGGGTTCATATCAATTTGCAAGCGTTTGCCTAATAGTATTTCAATTAGGCGGCAGCCCTACTGCCTGGGAAAAGCAAATTGAACGGGCTCCATGGTATCACACAGGCCTTTATTCTTGCTGCCCTGCTTTCATCAGGTTGCTTTGCTTGGCGTTTTGCCCTGAAAGAAGATTATGGCCCTAAATTGGATGGGCTTGCTGGGCATGTTCATGTCCAGATGAGCAATCCTTTTAACAGGGCCATGCCCATTGTAAGGCGGCCGGCTCACATAGCCTAGTTGTGCGTGCATCTCAGGCGAGGATTGCGGGAATCAGAGTGTGTTCGAGTACCCGCAGAATCTCAGCACCTCGTCATCTGATTTCTTGCACGGCGTCCCTGTTCAACTCCACCAAAGGAAGTGCTTTCTTTCCCACGAAAAGCCACTGGGTGTCTGGGCAGCTGGGTGAGGCAAAATACGGTTAAACACCACCTTTACAAGTGAAGAATCATCATAACCGGTGGTTTAAACATGTTTAAACTAATGGGTGGCCCCACCCTACTGGGCAGGGGTCCTTGGATTTTGTAGCCGAGCAAAGGAAGGCCGCTGAGATCCGGCGTAGATGGCTTCAACGCCTGCGAGCTGAACTTTGGCAAGACCTGCGCGGACGCAGCGCCTGGCACAGTCGAAACATGTCGACAGTAGAGTCTATGGCAACGAGCAAAGCATGGCCCCTATATAATCCACTTTGGTGCATTTTGCTTGGATGTTAGGACTTTATTTTTTTGCCAACGAATGGGTTTTCCAATAAACCACCAAAAGTTAAACTTTTGGCAGGGGAGCAGAAAGCAACCTATGGAAGGTGTCCCTTGGTCAAAGACTCTGTTGCTTCGAGGGAGTAGGGGTGGTCATCAACCCGGTTGAAGATCCATGATAAGGATGTTTACTCTATGAGGGAATCATGTCCATGTGATCCGCACCAGGATGTTTGACCATGTGAGGCTTAGTAGTCTACAATGATATAGTCCAGTTGGGTAACCGTACTTTTGACTATGACTCATGTGATCCTCCTGCCTGGAACGTTCAATATCAGTTAATCGTCCTTGTGCCAGATGGAAGGGGTTTCCCTTGTTGTTGCGGTCTTTGTTGAGGGTAGCCTTTTCAGCTCGGTTCAAAGAGAAACCAAAAGGATAGCCACCGTTTTGGGAGTGTCCCTATTTCGACCGCATTTCCATGCGATCAGTAACAAACCTCGGAGGTGTATCGAAACCGATCCCGCGAGCTGTGGTCTGTGGTCGTCGGGTTGTGTGAATGTTTTGTTTTGGGATGATCCTCAGTTGTTCAGTGGATTCCACCCTTTTTCGCTTTCTCTTTTAGTGGCTGCCCCACTAAAAATGGTCTTCCCCAAACAGGGTTCCCTTTTTTGATCAGAAAAGAAAGGCTGGGCCGGCAACATGTCTTGTGCCGACGGAGTCTTTGGAGCAACTCTGAAATAGGCGTGGACGTCTACTAAAGCCTACGGAAGTCATGGGGTGTCCTTTTGGAGGCTGCCAAACATGCGCGGTGGCTTGAGACCATGACCAGAGAGAACCAGCCGAACCTTTGGGTTTCCGGCAACCCAAGAGGCCAGCCTTTCAAGCAACCAGAAGATGAGCATTTGGTTTTGAGAGCCAGTCTCAGTGAGAGAAGCTGTGCGTGAGATCAAGGTCTTCAACCGCGACTTTCTCATGATGACCAAGTCGGTGAATTTGTCTAGAGCCACTCAGCACCCCTCGCCCGAATGCCGTTGAGTATTTTGTTTGTACGTATGTAGGTATCTATGTGTTTTTGTTGTTTGTTTTTGATCGGTTTAGTTTTTGCTCACTTACTTGCTCATTTGTTCGTTTGTTCGCTCGTCCGTCCTTTTTTATTTGGGGGGGGTCGGGTCCCGGGGCCAGCGTTTAGATTTGCTCGTTGCTTGACATGTGTTTGGTCTCTCTATAATTGGGAATAGCTCAATTACTTATTTTGACATGTTCTGGGGCTCTGTACAATGTGGGAATATTACAGAATGTTGGAGGGATATAACTTACGCGATCAGGCTCTTTAAGGTCAATCAACCTACGTGTGATGAGTAGCATTCCCGTTGGATCCCATTCGCACTTTGTTTTTTAGGCGAAAGACGTGATCTTTCAAATAGGTGAGCTACCCCCTACCTGCCCGCGGCTCACTTAGTGGTGAAACACACTTGCCATGTTTGTTGTTTTGCTTCGGGAATCCTTATGGTAAATTTTGCAGAAATGAAAGACCCACACTCCAACGTTTCCAAATGCCTCAGTCGTTTGAAGCCCCCGTCCCAAGATGAAGCTCACGCCCCTTCGAAACAAGCCATGCTGCGGTGGGCTGGGCAGGCTCATTAAAGCTCAAGCAAGCATATCCACGCAAGCTCAGCCTAGCTTCAGATCGGCTGTTGGCTTGTCGGTCACTCTTCAATGGAATTGCAACCGCTTTTACCATGCGTGTGTGCATCCTGGCCTAGGCTGCAAAACATGTGTGCACGTTGTTTTCCTTTTTTAAGGCCATTGGACAGGGATTCTCAATAGAACGTCATAAGATCGCTCATCCAAGGCTTGGGAAGAACGTGTAGAAGCCTAGAAGGGAAGTGGGTCAGAGTTATATACTCGCCAGTTCGTTCGGCGACCCTAAAAGCATACCAAGTTTGTTGTTTGATAGTTTGTTGAAGGATTTTAGTGAAAATTATCACACACACACACACAACACATGCACTCAATTTGGGAGTTTCCCTATGTTGACATGAGGCGACCGCTGCCCACGACCACGCGGTATGCCTGCACAACGGCTGGCTCAATGCGAGTGTCCGTGCCTTGCAACATGACTTCGATGGCTTGAAGGGTGCGGCCAAAAGCTTCTGCGATCAGGAGAGGGCCTTTTCAGAGTGCCAGTTCCCCAAGTTGCCCCGCTGGATTCCGCCAACTTGTTCTAGCTCTTTTTTGGATGGGAAGGGTTCCTTTTGGGGGAAGGGTTCCTTTTCAGGGAAGGGTTCCTCAGATGCCCAGTGGCGCCAACTTGTCTTTCCTTTTTTTTAGGGCTTTAAACTCACCCAACCAAAGGATGCCCTTTTTGCCCCCCCGGGCATCTGAGGTTCCGGAGTTCATCTGAGGTTCCAGCCTTTGCTTTGGACTGGGGTGCCCACTTTTGCCCCTCGTGTTTAATTTTGAGCCACACCCATATATGACTTTAAAAGCATGGGGGGGTTGCGGTTGCCCTCTTCTGACGTACCTAGGGATTCCCCTTTCCTGTGATCAAGTTGAACCGGGGGAATGAACCGCTTTGGCATTGCATAAATGTGTTTTTTTGTTTCCACAACCGTAGCCTTTTCCACATGGTTGTTCGGTGGATTCCACCCTTCTTGTTTTTGTTTTTGGCCTGGTGGGTTACCTGCCAAAGCCAGTCAGCCAGGGATTCTACTCTCTGGTATCTAGTGTCGGGAAAACCAGAAAGGAAGAAATTTGACGCTGGCTTTTGTCAACACTGGCTTTTGTCGACCCTGGCTTTGCTTGGCTTTTGTGGTTTCGCTTGGCTTTTCTTTGCAAACTGAGCTCATCGAGGTTGGCAACAACATGTGCCAGAAAAACTTAAGGCCGCAAAACACACATTAAATGGCTGTGGTGGTCAAAAGCGGATACCCAAAATGGAACCAAGGAGTAAAACCTGCGGTCGCCTAGTGGCTTAATTTGGGCCCATACCCATGCAAATGATTCTAATTTATTTCAAAGGTCCGGTGTTGCATGTTTTTGTTTGACATTCGTGGCAAATACTCTGTTCGAACAGTCATGGAACTGGAGGGCCTTTCCCCGAGGAGTCTTCCCAAACCCTCCGATCGTCTCCCCTGATTGTTGGAAAGAGACGAAATTACCTTCCTTCACAGCGACTTTGGTTAAATGGGCTTGTCTCAACTGTGGAAAGGCTCGAAATAGGTTGTTTGCCGCTAGTTTCCTTTTAAAGCACGCCAACAGGGCACCCCTTCTCTTTTCCCATTTCCTTTGCTTTCCTGAACACCAAAACCCCCCAAAAAGCCATGGGTCACACATTCTCCCCGAAAAAGCATCCGGCCCCAAAACCACCCAGGCGCGTCACTGGGCGCGAACACTGGGCCCGCTGGGCCAGGAGATGAGCTTCAGCGCCAGCTTCGCGGACTACTTGGTCCGCTTCCTGCGCTCGCGGCCCTGGCACCCCGGTGCCGTACCCTCCGCAGAGGACGCGCCCCTCGGCGTGCGACAAGCAGGATGTCGCGATGGAACAGGCGAAGTGCAGACCTCCACGTGTGCTTCTTGTTTTTTGTTTTTTTGTGTTTGTGTTTTCTTTTTGTAGCATTTGGAGGCTGTTGTGCTTCGCATTATTTTGTTATGATGTTTTTTTTTTTTTTGTGTTGTTTTTTTTTTTTCGTGTGTTTTCTTTTTGTAGCACTTTGAGGCTGTTTGGAAATCCACCAGATTGGTTCTTGGCTGTCTAGTCTAGAGATGCGCCAATGCCCTAGATTGGTTCTTGGCTGTCTAGTCTAGAGATGCGCCAATGCGAGTTTAGGGCAATGTTCCTGTTTTGGGCGACACGGACCTTCTGTGGGTTGTTTCCTTTTTGTTTCTTACATCTGTTAGGAGGCTTCCATTTGAACGGGTGTCCTTTTCTTGCCCGGTTTGTAGAAGTTCGACGATGTTGTTAGCGTGTCCATGGGACAAGCAAAGCGTGCTGCTTCAGCAAGAAGGGAACGAACAACACGTGCCGACTTTGAAGTGTCTTTTTGTTCAACGAGGGAAACTGGGACTTATTCTGACATTGTACTATGCATCAGAAGTAAACATATTTGTTGTTTCGTGGTGCAGCCGAGGCAAGGTATGCCTTGATGAAGGTCCCCGTGTGTTCATCGTGTGTTCCCTCATGGGAATCTCCGAGATGGCACACACCAAGAATACTATGTTGAGGTCCTTTGACAAGAACAGGGAGGACATTGGTTCCATTTGTTGCCAATGTCATCAGTTTCTAACTGGTTCCGATCCTGGGCTTTCTTTTGACGGTTCAGGACTTCTCGGGTGCCTCCCTTCGTTTTGTAGGCTCGGGAGTTTCAAGTTGCGCCTTCCGTTTCATGACTAGAATCCAGGCGCCTGTCTTTCATAGGTGTCCTTTTTGGTTTGCTTAAAAAATAGAGGGCGATGCCTGGTTTACCTTGTGGTTCAGTCATCTTCCAGGGCCATCTATTTTCCAAAAAGGACAGCTATGCCTTTTCTTATGTCAGGCCTTGAACTGATTAAGGGTTTCTCTGGTGCTTAGGCGGTGGCTGGGGCGCTTCTCTTGCCTCATGGGCACTGCAGCCTGCGACATGGCGCACTGCGCCTATAGCTTTTGTGAGGCCGGGAACGGGGAAGACGTGCCGAGGGAACGCGTTTGGTTTGATTTCAGAGCCATTGAGTTGGAATGATCCCTATAGACCATCCCCTGTAGTTTCCTTGAAGCCCTTGCCCAGGCTCATTTCCATAACATAGATTTCCTACTGAGAATCAGACAGTGAACAAGGCTCAATATTCTACTATCAGTAGTGGGGATGTCATGTGGCACACTTGCCAGCATACCATTATGAATGGGATTCACTCGCAATGTTGTATTTGTGCTGGGTGCATTCTACTGAGCTCACCTAGGGGTAAGACAAGCTTGCTCATTGTTTTTCTTCTTATTTCGATAAGGGTTGGCCAAAATATGCTTGCATATGCGAAGCATGCCCCCGAATGAAGGTCAACCTACAGTAGGTGGTATGAATCGCTACGACGTGTTTGAAGGCCCAACACGCCGTCCAAATTTCCCTGTCGTTTGTGGTCAACTTGGGAGGGACATGCTACGAGACTGACTGTGCATGTATGTGTATATATATATATACACTGATATCCAATAAATATGATAAGGACTTTCTAAGTTTGCCAAGTCCACAGAAGGTTTGCAAAGGTTCACCGTGGCTCACATGGAATGAACAAAAGCTGACTGGACTTGTTTTTGTTGAAGCTTGTGGCTGTGTTTTGATATTATTGTTTGGCTTTGTTCGGATAGTCCTTCTTGTTTTGGCTTGGACCGGGTGCATGTTTGTTTGTTTGTTTGTTTGTTTGTTTGTTTGTTTGTTTGCTAGCTTGCTTGGCTGCGTTTGCTTTGCCCTGGACTGGGCCTGTTTGCGTTTGTCTTGTGATTCGGAATCTTGTTTCTTTTGTTTTTTTTGAAGACGAACCTCCCACGCGTGCAGAGAAGCTCTGACATAGAATTGATGTTCCCCTTTTTAACCCCCAACAAGTTACCCAAGTCGTCCTTCCCCATGTGTCGAGTTGCTGTAGAACGGCGTTAAACATGTACTTGGTGGCTCCCAGCCGTCCGGCTCCTTTGCTTTTTGGCCTAGGGTTTAGCGGGGGTTTCTACTAAACCGCTAAAAGTTCCGCTTTTGGCAGGGGATCTGAGGACAGCCCAGTATATTGATCCGAATTATTGCAGTTTCGGTGGTTGTGATATAGAACTCTTCTATAAGCTTGTTGTTGGGATGCCCTTTGATCACCAATCAAAGGCCCCTCCCCAAGAAAATAACAAGAAACACACCAATCAAAGTTTCAAAGGCCCCTCCCCAAGAAAATAACAAGAAAGTCATATGGCTCATATGTTTCGTGTGGTGCCTTTAGAGATACCAACAAGCTGTTCCTTTTGGCCGAGGCAGATGGGAAGTTCGGGCTCTACGAAGAATGCGATGGCTGGGACCCAGTAAAGGGCATGCCGCATGCGTAGCTGGCGTCAGAGCGAACACACTGAGCCTAGGTCCCCCAGTGCCCTTCTCACCCCTTTTTGGTTGGGAGGGTTCCCCTACTAAAATAGACTACAGATACAAGGGTACCCTTATTCTAATCTCTCTACTGGAGCACCTAGGAGCAGTGTAAATCAACGGCCGGCTGCAGCCCAAAACGGTTTTTGGACTGATACCCAAGCGCTGATGTTGTTTTGGGCACGAACAAAGTCTGCTATGTCTGGTGCCAAAAGAACCTCGCAGAAAGCTCGGCCCAAAACGGACAGATTGCCTGGGGTATTAGTCGTGAAGCCAAGATCAAAGCGGCCCAAGCCAGGGTGGTCCATTTTAGTCATCCCGATATTGGAATGTCTGGATTTCCCTTTACTGTAAAGCTATAGAATACATCTTGGAGGTACATGCCAAAATGGTTCCGGGAAAGGGGCAAAAAGACCACCCTGGCCCAAGCTATGTGCAGTGCTGGAGCTGCCAAGGTGAAGACGCGGAAATCAGCGGTGCGGGGGAATTCCGACCAAGTAGCACCCTCAAATTAAAGTCAGCCAGGGGAATCCAGGGGTGTGTTGCCATGAAGCCGGGAACTGGGTGCAACATACTCAAGAGCTGATTTCTTGAAACGAAGCAAAACGATAAATCATAGATGTTTGATTGGATTGTCCAGACTACTTGCCACCAAATTCGAAGATGCCTTGAAGCAGAGTCTTCGCCCTCTTCGTGGAAGTGGACGGAGTTGATGGCCCGTTTTCTTCATGACACAATCTTTCGCAACAACTCCCATGAATTTTCATGACTGGAGAAATATTTGTCCATTATCCTGTTATCCGCAAAAGCCATGCTTGCTCCATTGCAGTTCACCAGCAAAAATATTGTTAGAGCTTTGATGCCTTCGCATTCATCGCGGGAGCAATGTTACACCAGTCATGCTGCGCGGAATTATATTCCTCTTCAAGGGGGTCTTCTAGTGGCATCCATGGCTACGTGAAACAGAATTATAGATGCACTCAGCTCAAGTGGCCATGGCAGTTGTGTCCTGCTTTGATTGAATCGTTATTGGCATGACTTGTGCTTGTGTTTCGGTTGTATTGCGGTGTTGCTTCATTGTCATTGTTTTCTGTTTTCTGGCATGTTGTTTGTTTGCGGGTTATGTTTGTTTACTTCATTGGTGTTTTGTCTTTGCCGCAACGCGCGATGGAGAGCCACCAAGCATCCCGACACCTTCTTGCCACACACACACACACACCATACCTCTGGCATTGCAAGTTGCTCAATGTGGCCCCATTTATAGATTTGTTTGTTCAGTGACCGCTTTCATCCAGCACCAACAGGGCAAATTCTAACAAATAGCTTTCGCACCATCTCAGCTACTCCATGTGGCAACCAGTTGACAGCATGCGGATTGCTGTTGGGGAGTGTATGAATTTGACAAATTGGAGTTCAAATGCTTGCTAAAGTGAAGGGAACCAATTGGCAACCTTGAGCAATGCATGTTCATCCATGCATCGCAGGCATTTGTCACCTAGATAAAAGTCACTGCTCATTATCTATACAGTCCGGCAGGTTACAGGCAGGCATCTTTGCAGTAATCCATGGTAGTGTCACTGTGTCACCTTTGTCACGTGCTTAGTTGCCAGGCTTTGGGCAGACCTTGCCTTTAAGCCAATTATGTCTTTCTTGGGTCATCCACGACATGAGGTGTGGTTATTGTGCGGGGAGATAAGCCCATCATTCTGGCTAGGGTTCACGATCCCAGTGAAGTTGGGCGTTTGGGGACGAAACCGAGATTGATCTGAGCAAATTATCGCAATCGCAGCAACCTCACCCAGGTTTTACATGATGGTTCCCTACTACAGTGGCAAGTGGGAGCACTGGGTTTGTGTCTGGCTGTTTCCGACCGGGTCCCGTCGATTGTCATGAAGCGCATGCCAGTGTCGATTGCACAGGAGACCACCATTCAGCTGCAGGCAAGGGTCTGACACCATGATATTTTGCTTACCCGGTGGATCCATTATGCGTCGAACAATAGGGACTTGGACCCCGACAATCATAGGTTCCCTTTGGTTTCCATTCAAGCCAAGGTGAAATGGGCATCCTCAAGACAAACATCCATTTCCCAGGATTAGATTTTTGAAAACTAAAAGGAACATGGCTGATTGCCTACTACAAGGATGAGGATCCACAGATGTGCACTGGGTTGCCTCTTCAGCTTGTTTTGAGCCACTGAATGGCCCAACTGGGAATAAGTTTTTATTGGGACTTCTTTGGGGGACGTCTGGGTCCACCAAGCTCGTTTGTCGTGACGACCCAGTTTCATGCTTCGTTCCGGTGTGTTCACCCCAGAGAAATCGACCCTCGGTTGCGTTGCCAGAAGTGTCCTGCCCGCTTTGGGTGTCCGTCATTTCTTGAAGCATAGCAAGAAGTGAAGTGACCGATGCTTGGACATGTTTGGTTTTTTACATTGTGAGCAAGTTTGCGGCTTTGGTGTTGGTCAGGGGAAATATGACCTGGACAAAACCAATTCCGGAGTGGCTGATAGCACTGCTGCTAGCAACTTGTGATTGCCCAAAGACAGAGGGGTCACGAGGACGAGGGGTCTTCAGAACTTTGGCGTTGACAGGTCCCAAACAGGGCTTTCTCAAGAGACTCTCACATCCTGAACGGGGAGGGTATGCAGATGTGCGTGTGTGTCGCTGTGTGTGCGTGTGTGTTGATGCGTGTGTGTGTGTGTGTGTTGATGTGTGTGTGTGTGCCTTAGTGAGTGAAGGAGCGGGCAAACGCCTCAGTCGTATGACAGAAAGACGAATGGGCAAACGAACCGCGCACCCATGCCTACACACTTGTTACAGAAAGAGACCAATTTGTTGACACCCAGGCATTCTTGTGCCAAGCAACTACTTGTTTCTGTCCGAGTAATTGAGGCGAGTAAGGGGTGAGCTGGAACGCTTTTTCGCATGACCAGTCCTACACCCACTCAAGCAAGTATTGAATTTCCCCAATATGCTTCCCAAGGCTCCTGTTTTTGGCGCCGTATTTCCTTGAGGTTGTATGGGAGTGCCAGTGTTGTCGTTTTGATTGCACAGCCTCAGCAAACCATGTGCAAACCCCTAGAGTCCCAATGCTCCTCAGAACTTGGGCCAATGTGTCTATAGATTTGGGTGCCTGACCCCATGTAGACGCGATGAGTTTTAACCCAGGTGACCTAGGTGTGTCTTTTTTAGGGGACCCCAAAATGGTGGTTTTCCTTTTGGTTTCCCTTCAAACCATACCCAAAAAGGGTACCATCGAAAAGAGACACACCCACCTAGGACGAATAAGCCCTCGTTGGTTCTCGGGAATCCGGGATGATCCCGCTGCAGGTGGACGCGGAGGAGGAAGATGGCCAGAGCTCCTAGCGCCACGGATTTTTAGCCAACTAGTTGCAGTTCTTTGTCCATCAGTCGGTGTTCTTTTTTGGGTTTTGCTCCACCATGTCAATGCAGCTTGTAAATTGTAAGCATTTTCAGTTTTCAGGTATTCAGTTTTTGGGATGCTGGTCAGACACTTTGGCCAGAATCGACTTTCCGATAAGAGGGCCCTGGGGGAGGCACGAACAAGACTTTCGCCGGGGACTGCTTTGGGCGGGGTGCAAACGGCCCACGTCTGCTCATGGTCCCTTCTTTTTCCTTGATTCCTTTGTGTAAGCATATTCAGGCCAATGCTTGGACAAGAAGCAAGGTTTGTCTTGAAAAAGTGGAACTGGGGATTGGCATGAGTCCGTTCGGTTTCTGTACCCATGCCGTGTAATGTGCAGATATATTCCATGGGTGTTGGCTCTCACAATCCTCATTTCTCCGCAAGGAGGGCGCATCAGTCCTTGCAACCAGCATGCAAGCTGACAAGGCCCGGCAAGGTGACATTTTCTTGGTGGCTCTCAGCCACCCCCTTAGCCTTTCAGCTTTTTTTGTGTTTAGTGGTAGTTTCCATTGAACCTGCTAAAAATTGCACTTTAGGCGGGGGATCTGAGGGCGGCCCAGTTCGACTGTTTTTCGGCAACTTCCATAATTGGAGGGAGGGCAGGACAAAAACTCATGCTCAAAGCATCAAGGTTTTGCCCCTGTTGTCATGAGCCTCCTTGGGTTTCGGGTGATATGATGATATTTCGATGGAAAAACACAAATGTACCATGTTCAGAGCTGTTTGCTTTCTGTTGCACGTTGTATCACATATTTCCCCACTAAACAACGGGCAAAGGGCATTAGTTCCTTAATTAAGGCCACTGGTTGCAACTAACCATTTTTGTCCATGCTTTGAGTTGTTTGTTCTTTTGGTTGCATCTTGTTTGCCTAGGGGTTTGCGTAGCAGAGGCATAGTTTGGACACTGATATTTGCTCGACTGCACACACACACACAGACAAGCCAACACGCCAATACGCACGCTTCCCTCCACACCCGTTTGACAGCATGCAGGTAAACGAGGAAGTCAACATACATATATATATATATACATATGCACATCCACACTTACATGCCCAACTGTGGTCATGGAGGCCCACATATTAGTTCAGTAAGCACATCCGCCCACACACCCGCTAGACTGCACACATGCAGGGAATTTACGGCACCGCAGACAGCTCAGCCAATGAGGGCACGAAGAGGGGTCTTGACATGCCATGATGCAGCTTGGCAACAGTACAGGTAAGAATGACCTCATAGCTCTCGTTGGCATTTACAACCCGTTAGTGATCACTGGCAGGTGTCCCCTTCAAGAGGGGACCCAGATCGTTTTTGGGGAACACCCTCCCGATAATGCATGTATTAATATATATATATATATATATATATATATTTGTATATATATATATATATATTTATTTATTTTTCTGGGCCTGCGGCCTCTAGCCGGCTACGCCTCTTTGAAGTTATACGATGTCATGTTTTTGTATGAGAAACGTATCCTGTGCTATGATATGGCCCACCCCAACCCCAGATGATGCCGGGGATGCCAGCTTTC